ATTGAAGAAGTGAAAGTGGGGGTGGGGGTATAAATAGACCGAGCATTTCTAGCGGTTCGGTCCAAAACCGCTAGAAATTTCTAGCGGTTTTGGACCAAACCGCTAGAAATTCCCAACGGTCACATGTGCCTCGGGAATTGCCAAAATTTCTAGCGGTTCGGTCCCAAACCGCTAGAAATTTCTAGCGGTTTGGGACCGAACCGCTAGACATTTCTAGCGGTTTGGGACCGAACCGCTAGAAATTTCTCAACTCCTCAGGCAATTAAAAATATTTCTAGCGGTTCATGCATCAACCGCTAGAAATTTTCAGTGTCTAACGGTTTATTGGCCTGAACCGCTAGAAAATAAACGCTACAAATTTGGCGCCAAGTTCCCGCCAAAACCCGGGAAATTTTCTAGCTCTAAATTTCTAGCGGTTAGGTGGTAACCGCTAGAAATGTACGGGCAATGGTCAAACCGTCTGTAATTTGCAGCAGTTTTTCTAGAAACCGCTAGTAATGTTAGAATTTCTAGCGGTTTTGTTGAACCGCTAGAAATGTTCCGCTGCTAATTCTACATTTTCTTGTAGTGATGTATGCTTTGACATCAGATAAAAATAAAATAAAATAATGATAAGAAAACTCTATTTTGAGATATAATCTATACTTAGTGTCTTTATATAGTTCACTATATGGTAAAAAAATGCTTATACAAACTGTTTTATATTATTCTACTCGTAATTGGTCATCTTTCTTATGAATTCTTGCGCATATCATCATCTACATTAACGATTTTTAAGAACATTGGGAAAGAGGATAGGCATAAACTCAGAAAACTAAATTTCTCACATTTTGTAAATTTCATTCTGTATTAATTAATTTAACGCATCTTCATCAAAATTTGATGTTTTTAGTTAATTTTTAAGGTACCCACAAGGTATTTTTCCATTTATTTATTATTCTTACACATATCAAACACGACCAAGCTAAGTTTTTTCATCTACTTCGTTAATCCATCAAGGGATACGCAGTCTTTTTTAATTATCTAAGATGATCTACACCGTGACTTTTTCCCCATATTCGGCTAGATTCCCACTTGTCACTTATAATTTGTAGTTTTGAATAAAATATAACATATGATTTTTTGTCCTCCATATATGATATATTCTAAAACTCAGTATCATAAATTACTTTTTCAATTTAGAAATAAAAGTATCATTTAAGTATAATATAATTGACTGAATTTCCATAAGCATCATCCAATTAATACACCGTAACGCTAAAGTCTTTATATGTAAATAATCTTTTTAGTTGTGTTATTCTAGCTTGGATGAGAACCTGTAATTTTCATTTTTGCACTAAACATGTGGTAAGCTAATCAAAAGATATGCATTCATTCTTTATTTTCTTTATTGTTTGTGATTTGTCATATTACTCTCCCAATCTTAAATATAAGACCTATTTTATATTATAAATTACACTACAAAATGGGTATTATATTTAGGACCGGAGGAGTATAATTGTCAATCCTTAGCTTGATTACTCATCATAGTGAGGCGAAACATGTTTGTTGTTACTCTAACGTTATGTGTGCAAATTCAAAAATTAAAGCTTCTTCTTCGTCACAAATTTCTATTTAACATTTGCGAGTGTCTTATTTCTACATTGTCTCTTTTGCTTTCCCATCGGTTAGAGAGCCATCCTAGCCTAATATCTATAGGCTAGAAGAATAACAAGGTGTCATATTCACTAATATCCAGCGTTTAATATAAAAACTAGTTTGATATTCAATTAATCATAAATCTAATACTCTAATCTATTTTATCTCTCATATTTATCATTTTTAAAAAAAAATAACAAGTAGTTCTTGTAATAGTTGCACATGTCAAAGATTTCATTTAATTAATACACATGATTAGCAAAGATATTTTAGAAAAAATAATATCTATTTATTACCAATAACTAATTTGATAAACTTTCTTAATCTTCTCAAATTAGTCAACTAGCTCTTATATTAAGAATTGAAGATAGTATTTTCTATAGCCTAAAAATGGATATGTTTAAGGAAATATGAATATACAGAACAACAAAGAAATTAGGCGAAAAAAGAGAGTAAGTAATGGACCCGATATTAGCATAGCAGCGAAATTATAGGTTTTTTTCCCACTTTTTGGGTTGATGAAAGTCGTTGTTAATCCTAAGTTTTAATTATTAATCATATTGTCTTTCTTCCGACCAGAGATTAGACATTCATGTTGAGCTAAAGAGATATTCAAAAAGCCAATCCAAATCCATCTGTAATTTGAGTCATTTTAGTAAATGCTTTTTAAATTTTGTCTCTACAAAATTAACTAAGCTCTAAAGAAAATGTCTCTCACACAGGTTAAATTCAAGTGGTGTAGATTGAATGTTCTTTGGTAATAAGAAATCACCAATATTATTTTAAATATTACTCATCTTCCGATCCTTAATATAGGACCTAATTTAAAAGTTGATGTTGATTCTATATATAAGACATATTTCACATGTTTATCAATTTTTTTTCCAAATTAACTCCATTGATATTCTTTAAACAATAATCAATACAAGTAAGAAGGGAATTAAAAAAAATTTAGAGTGGTTTAGAAAAAAAAACATATTATATTAACTAATTTAACTAATATTTTTAATCTACTTAAATTAGTTAATTAGATCTTACATTAAAGACCGGAGAAGTATATTCTATTTAGAATTTCGTAATCCCTCACTAAATTTAAGCTTCAAACTCTTTCAATTTTATAATCAACCGACGACTGACATTATATGGAGGAAAAGAGAATCTAGCTTTCCATGCTACTTTTGGGGCCGATAGAGCCATTTAACCTAACAAATTCACTTAAATATTAATTCGATATATATGCCAATCACATATCTACATCAATGATTAAATCTTGCAAATATTACTACAAAAAATATAAAAAACTGAATTAGATACGAGGGATTTACACGTACACAAATATGCATGCATACAGATATCGCAATCGAGCACACATCTATATACCAACCTGGACTTTATTTTTTTCAATCATTATTTTATTACTAAATGTCTAAAAAATATTGGATGCACAATTATCTCCGCGTCAAATACCCTCCCAGGTTGTACTATATATATGTATGATTTGCACCGATCTTGAACACAAATTGAGTTCAACCATAATGTCCTCTAAACACTTTCTAGTGTTCCTTTTCGGAGTGACGTTTCTCACCACTTTTTGCTTTGCAGATTATTATGAGAATCCCACTTATAATAACCTACCATATAATGAAGAGCCACTTCTTATTTACAACCCACAAATTGAGGGACGATCAATTTACAAGCCTTTAGTTAGGAAACTACTATGGATGGAGCCAATAATACCTTGGGGGCCGCCTTGGCCTATTGATCGCCCCAGAACCAAGCCATTTAAGGGGAAATCAGATAATAAGAAATCTAAGGAGAAACCAAATAATAATAAGCCACCTAAGGAGAAACCAGATCATCAGAAGCAATCTAAGGATAAGGACAAATCACGAACAAGGCATCGGTTCCACCGTTTTGGTCACCAGCCTCCTTCATGAAACAAGAATTATCACTGGGTATCCTGTTATTTTAAGTATGTTTTGTTATTATAAAAATAAAGGAGACCTATTTTCAATTGTTTCATCGAGTACACTTTATATATGTATGGGTGTATGGTTGTAGACATGTTACATTCTCCCAACTGTGACATTTATGTTATATAATAGAAGTTGTCTATTTTGCCTTACTTCTCCCTGTATTTGTCAGTAGGTTTTGTTAGCTATAATTTATTTGAAAAAAATGTGGGTTAAGATCCAATTCTGCGACAGAAGTTTTTCCAACTGGTGGTTATTCAAAAGTTTTTTTAAGATCAATATTATTTCTGAAGTGTTGAAAAAAGGAGCAAATTAAATTTTCCCGAACCTTTAAACCACCAATGTTGACTAGTAAAAAAACTAATGTTAGCCATCAACATTTCCAACAACTAGGGGTGATATTACTCCTTTTTTAACACTTTTGGGTAATATTGTTCCAAAAGAAGACTTCTATACATCCAGAGCTCCTATGGGAGAAACTTCCAAGAAAAATTGGACCTTAACCCCGAAAATGTTTATGATAAGCATTGTAAGTATTATTTGGGTATGATTTTGAGCACATAATTGTCATTATGAAATTAAAAAATATATATGACCGAATTTGTCTCTTAAATGATATTAGGTGCATATATAAAATATACTTCTCCTGCTTTTAATATAACATCTATTTAACTAATTTGATTAAATTAAGAAAATTAGGTAAGTTAGTTAATTATAATAAATATGAAATGTTTTTCTTAAAACACCATAATCATCTTTCCTCTCTCTTCTACTTGATTATGGTTGAGGAAATATCTATAGGAGTATTTAGGGTCAAAATCAATTCAACAATTAGATCCTATACTAAGAACCGGAAGAGTATATATTCAGAATAACTGATTCTCTATAAGAAGCCGGCATGTAAATAATAAGATCAACTGAAGATGGATCAAAGAAAAGCCAACAACAAATTAGTTGGGAATTAACCGTCAATATTTTGCACTTGCCATTTTTGAACTAGTTAGCAATTACAAATGGTCAAATTAATAATGTCAAGAACGTGCAGATTTTTTCAAACATTACCTTAACACCCAACATAAACAAAACTATACACAATGCCTTCTTCTTATTAAAACCTGGATCATTTTATCTCTTGAAGAACCAAAACTTTTGTTTTGAAACTTAAAGAACCATGTTAGAGAGAGGAAAAGTGAATCACTAGTTAAGTGAGATAAGCCTATATAAAAAGTATAATGTGATTTGTTTAGAGCATAGAATGTGTTATCCTCATCAATGAGAAAGAGGATAACTTGGATCTCCTTTCTTAATTTCAATCATTTTGAGTTGTTATTTAATTTCTCAAGTGAGAAATTTGATTAACTCTAAAAGAATTCTTGTATCTTGTTCATTATTAATGGCATTTCATAGTCTTTATTCTCATTTCTTTATATGGTATCATGAGCAGGTCATTTTTGGGCCTAATAATACCTATGCCCGATGGTTCTTGTTTCCCCGCCACAGTCCAATTCTTTTCTTGATTTGACAATGCTGTTTTTTTTTCTTGCTGTGAAATTGCCAAACAGAGCACATCTTATCTCCCTACTATTGCAAGTCCAAGTTTCTTGAATCTAGGATTTGTTTGGAATCAAGTTCTTGCCATTTTTTCTCAAGATCCAAGCCCATCTACCACTGGTGATAGCTCCATTGAAGCTAATGGCAAAATAGCCTACTCATCGTTTGTCTGTTTATCTCTAACAATCCCTACTAAGCCATCCTCAACAATCCAGTCTCATGTGTGCCTGCCACAATCAGAGTCTACGACAGAGCAGAGTTTATCACCTATGAAGGCTTGATTTGATGCTGTGGTCCATAGCTCCGTCGAGACCGCTTCACTCTTCTGATTGTCGCAAGACCACAATTGAAGTTTGAAGCCAGTGACAGAGCACTGTCATCATTGTCAGCAACCTTGTGTTTATCTACCATCTTTACTGCTGAGCCCTAATCTTGTCACAAGAAGGATCACCAAGTTCATGTTTCCAGTAACAAGAAACTCATCTATACTTCTAAGTCTCTTTTAATGGTCATTTATTAAGTTGCAAGAACAAACTTTGAAACTTCAATTCCTTGATGTAATCCACCTTTACGGTAAACAAAGTCACATTCTATGCAGAAAATCGCCTTATCAATCTTCACGCTGTGCAATTCTTGTTACGATCGTCCCGTTCTGGTTTCTTGCAACTCCAATCATATCCTTTCTTAACTATGTTGATCTTTGCTTGGTCTTACCTTCACTGCAATACGGACGACTCTTAATCATGGCTATGGAGACGACCATATAAGAATCTTGGCTACGGCTACAGAGACAACAAGATGAGATTAATCTCCATCTCAAACAACAAGTTCATGCTCAAAGGAATGTTATATCATGAAGCTACATGGTTATCATGAAGTTGTATGGTTAATTCATTCGATGATTAGAATCTTCAACCAAGTGAATTCACCATTTCTCTCAGCACAATTGAACAAAGTAAATGACTTTATGCATATATGGACAAGTATGTGTTGTGTAACACACTCCTCCATACAGCTAGATATGAGCAGATTTATTAATTATGGCTAAAGGCTTACACTAAAAAAGGTGGAATTTCTATAACTTTTCATTAAACTTTGAATCATGACTTATCATTTTATTTTCTTCAAGATTTATACTATAAAAATAAAACCTAGATTCATTCTTCATGTACCTGAGAGCAACTTCTATTTATCAAAACTATAAAGATGTTACTTCTGAAAACTATACCTTTCTGTTCTAGCTCTAATAAATCATGCTTTGTCAATTCCAATTCTTTCATGCCATAGATATATTATCAATATATACATATATACACACACACACTAACTCCCCAGCTATGCTAAATTACCCCTAATCAATGTACAGCCCATTAAGTGAAATTTACATAACGGAAGTATGAACATCACATACCACAAGAGAAAAGGGAGAACATAACATAAAATATATTCAAGATTAATTAATTAACTAAGCACTAAATTCTTCTCTCCTTCAGTCTTAACTATGCTTCCACCAGCTCCTCTTTCCTCTTGGATGAACTAGGCCCCGTGGTTAAATAAAAAGGAGGGGTGAGATTCAAAGAATCCCAATAGCAGCAATCATATTTTACATATTATGCATAGTATAAAACTGAGCATGCAAAACAAGCCATAGAGAACACCACCTTACAAAATAACTAAACTGAACTAAGTAACTAACTGAGACATATTCGTTGTACATAACTGAATAACTAAGCAACTACGTTAACTAATTAACTAAACTGTATAACTGAGCAGCCGCTGACTTATTATCTGAATTGTATAACTAAATAACTGAGTAACTATGTAGCTGCTATCTAATTAACTATTAAATGTGCATATACTGAATAGTGAAATGCATATATATAGCCATAGCAATAACTAGTAAGGCAATTTACATGTTTTCATACTTAACTATAGTATTACAGCACAAACAAACATGCAATCAATACAAAACACACAAAATAATGATTAAAGCTACCTTTCCTCCTGCTATCCTGTGCTACTATCTTGGCCTGAGTTTCTTCTTCGTAGACCAGCCACCAATTAAATCCTAGCAGTGTGAGTGTGTGTGTGTGTATATAAAAGGTAAGTCAAAACTGGATTATAGTTAACCCATAACTAACTAAATCTCTCTATGATCCCCACTCAAGCACACTCTGCTCTCAAGGTGGTTGGTCATCTTATACAAAATTCCTGTATTTCATCTTTCTATTCCAAGAGTCTCTAAAGTCTCTCCTTTTCTTATGCTACTCTTGACTTCTTTATCCACTAGAATTCAATTAAAGAAATAAGATTCAGCATATTTATTAACTCTTGATGCTTCTTGAATAATTGATTAGCACGGAGGAACACAAAACAAGCAAACTTAAATCATCATTCAAATTCCCTTCAATTATATAGCTATATAGAAACATTAGCCTACCCGTTAGAGACATTTAAAAAGAATTTAATCAGTTCCTAATGTTTAATTTATTCTTTATGCGTTTCACACGCATAGATACTTACATCAGTATCGATACATACATTTATTTCATATACACATATTCCTTTATACAGAAATTGTAACGTCCTGACTCTTAATAGCCTTTTAACCCTAATTTTTGAGGATAATTGGTGTTTAAACTTGAACCTTGATGTCTAGTTTGGGATCAAAGTAAGTTGGAGGAACAGGTGTTCCCCGTGGCGAAGTAGAGAGTTTTGGGAGAGCTTCCTTTCGAAAATATGTTTCGTCACGACTAAGTTAAGGGGGAGTCGCAACAAAAGGTATCAGGTGAGCAAGACTTCCTCTCAGAAAAAAATTATCGCCGTGACGAAATGGGTTTTTGGCTGCGATGAACTTGGGTCTCTGGGTTAGAAAATCCCTCTCGAGATTAGTTAGTCGTGACCAATTACTGGGTTCGCCGCTACGAAAAGGTCATGTCTTTAAATCCAGAGGAGCGGTCCGATATACGAAAATCAGATTTTCTGAAGGTAGGAGTTAAAGCTCTGCTAGGGCTTCGCGTTTTTGGCTTGGGAAAGGTATTTCTAAGGCTCTATTGCCTCAAGTAAGTGATCTTAACCTCTAATCTACTCTTTCTCTTGGTATTTTTGAAGATTTATGGTGAAACTCTAGAGTTTTCTAAGTTGTGATGAAATTGAGGTTTTTGACCGATTGTTTTGAGTTTAAATGATTGTTATGGGCTAATTTAAGTATTTAATCAGTGTAGTTTTCTTGAATTTGGAAATTTAGAAGTTTTGAAAATTTGGGATTTGTGAAAATTGAAGTTTATGGTTGAGGATGTTAATGTAATGGTTGAAATTGAGTTTTGTGACTTGGGTTATATTAAGAAAGGTTAAATTGGATGTTTAATTGATTTAGAATATTAGTAGAACTTGATTTTGTTCTAATTGGATGTTTGGGTGATGAATTTCTAAAGTGGGATTTGAGTTTCTGAATTCAGTTGAGGTTTTGAAAACTACTACATGGTGGTTGTGTACTTATATAGACCTGTTATGAGTATTTGTTAGTGCACGAGGCATTATGGTGTTTTTGTTATTCCTTGCTCAGGCGAGAAATAACCACTTTCTAATCCTTTGTACATGTTGTTATGGTACTATGAGTGGATTTATATTTTGTGCGTCGAGTAATAACTAGTATTCTAAATATATTTTTGTATATCAAAAAAGGAGAGTTGTCTTCTGGGGTTTTTATACAATACTAAATGCATTAGGAATTTTCTGAAAGATATGCCACTGATTAAAAATACTTGTGGAATGGTATATTTACTCTTCGGTAAAGATGTTTGAGCATGATGCATGTGTTGGGATTAATGAGAGATTGCATTATTACTACCACGTGGTAAGGCCTCTATTAATGCATGATGGTTGGCTCTTTACGTCCCCCATAGTGAGGGATATACCCTTGTGGCTCTTTACGTCCCCCATAGTGAGAGATAAGCTATTATGGCTTCTTACAGCTCCCACAGTGAGGAATAGGCCAAGCTCGGCTCTTTGAAATCCCCTAAAGTGAGGGATAAGTCGATGTGTTGCATCATTGCACTTGCATGGTTCTTTGTGGCTATCACTTACAATTTTACATGTAACTGCCCCCACTTGACACCTCACGAGCATCTATTCATCTGTACTCTGTATTGGAATGTTGATTACTAAGACTTCTGTCTCACCACGTGGTTATAATGTTTTCAGGTGAAGGTTTTAGGCATACGTCTTTGGGAAGGGACACAGAGGCTTGAGCTTGGTTAAGTTGTAATGCCTCTAACCTGTGGTATATGTATGACTAGTGTATATTGCCACATTTAGAGTCTTTTTGAAATATTTTGATTGCATGGCCTTATGGTAAACTGGTGAAAGTATCATCTCCTTATTTTGTTGGCCGAAGACCATTCTTATTGTTGTATAAAGTTCTGAATGTATGTTCATGTGGACAATTGGATGGGTTTTTGTGCGATTCTGTGTTTACCTGAGCCTGAGGCTCAAAGGCCCAATTGAATGAACTTGGTAATTGATTGTATGAAAAATCTTTGGTTGCATGCAACTTGTTTAGGTTTCTGCCCACAGTTTAATTGTCAATTCTGAAAATGGTTTACAAGTTTTCTTTTCTACTATGATAGTTTGTATAACAGTTTTCCTTTTCTACCATAGTAGTGGTTTTATATCGAGTTTTATAACATATTAGAGAAGAAGTTTTTACACAAACATTTCCACATTCTTCTACCTTAACTTCTAAGTCCTGAGGCCAAAATACAAAATTTCTGTATTTTCAAAGGTCATTTCCATCCCATGACTCAACGTGGTAACATACATAAAAAACTAAATACACACATATATAATTGATTTTAGTTAACTAGATAAGCACTCCAACAATCCCACAGGCTCCAATGGGAAATCTAGCTTCAATTTTTCACTTTAAACATTATAAAACTGTCGCTAGCATTGTAACTGTGGTTATCAGAATCGGGCGATTTGGATCCTGAATCGCACAATTCGTTACAAAATTTGCACTGGGAGATACGAATCTCCTAGTGTATCTTCAATGCATCAGTATCATGGCCTGAATCACACGATTCAGGCCGGAATCGCGTGAATCACGCGACGCACCCAATGTCGGGTCGCACAAATCCAACCCGAATCTGTGCACGACCAGACACGATGAAACCCCCTATTTTCATTTTTTTTTTAATTTTTTTGTTTTTTTCTATTATATAAGGGAAGTAACTGCCAAACCCTATTTTTTTATTCCCCTCTTGCTCTTCTTTTTACGTTTTACTCCATATCTTGTGCCCTATGCCAGTTGCTTTTTTTTTTCTCTTCTACCGGTTCCATGCGGCTGAAATTTGGAAGCTTTGAAGTTTGAATATTGAAGTCTTCTCCTTTGCTGGTTCTTTCTCTAATCTTCTACTCCTATTTGATAATTTTTTTTACTCTTTTTTTCTTGGATATTATATTGGTGGGAAAAATGAGTCAGAATCAGAATAAGAAAAAAAAAAAGCTGACATTACATGGAAACATTGTGAAAGTGTTCCTCCCCATAGACTTATGGTTAAATGCAAATACTGTTCACATCAATGTTGGGGTGGGGTAGCCAGGATGAAACATCATTTGGCTGGAACTAAAGAGAATGTGAGTCCCTGTACAAGTGTTCATAATGAAGTTAAAAATTTATTTGTTAAAATGCTAGAAGATAGAGAAAAAAATAAAGATGCTAGTAGTTTTGAAATATTTGAAGAAGCAACTGCTCAAGATGCTAAGGGGAAGGAAGGGACATCAAAAACTATGAAACAGAAAATGATGAATGAGATGGTAAAAGATAGAGAGTTAGTAATTCAAGATATTTGTAAATGCATCTATGGTAATGCTTTACCATTCAACTTGGTAAGAAGTCCACTGTTTATTCAAATGTTAAAATCTGTTGGTCAATATGGTAGGGGTTTGAAACCTCCAAGTTATCATGAGGTGAGAGTTTCTCATTTGAAAAAAGCTGTTGATAAAATTCAAGAAAGTTTAGTGAAGTATAAGAGGGAATGGGAGAAATGGGGTTGTACTTTGATGTGTGATGGTTAGACTGATAGTAAAAAGAGGTCTCTTACTAATTTTTTAGTTAATAGTCCTGGTGGGACTGTTTTCCTAAAATTGGTGGACACAAGTAGTGTGATTAAAGATGCTAAACAAATGTTTGAATTACTAGACAATATAGTTGAAGAAATTGGGGAGGATAATGTGGTGCAAGTTGTGACAGATGGTGCCTCAAATCTCGTGGCAGCAGGGAAGATGTTAGAAGAGCAGAGAAAAAAATTATTTTGGTTCCCTTATGCAGCTCACTGCCTTGATTTAGTCCTTGAAGACATTGGGCAACTTCCGGTATTTTATAATACCATCACCAATGCGAAGAAAATAACAACATTCATTTATAGGCATACATGGGTCCTTAACTTGTATAGAAAATATTCCAAAGGAAGAAAATTAGCTAGACCAGCAGTGACAAGATTTGCAACAACTTATCTTACACTAAGTTGCATATTGCAGCAAAAGAATGCTCTTCAAACCATGTTTGCTTCAGATGATTGGGTTTCTAGTTCTTTTGCCAGTAAAAGTGAGGGTAAGCAAATGGCAGACATGATTTTTGGGGATTCTAGATTTTAGAGTTCCATCAAATATTGCTTAAAGTGTGTGAGTCCACTTGTAAAAGTTTTGAGACTTATAAATAGTGACTCTAAACCTGCTATGCCATATATTTATAAAGCAATGGATAGAGCCAAAGAAGAGATTGCTGACAATTTTGAAAAGAAGGAATCAAGGTATAAAAAGATATGGAAGATTATTGATACTCGTTGGAATTTACAACTACATAGACCCCTCCATGCGGCTGCCTACTTTCTTAATCATAAGTAAGTTTTATACAATTTAAAGTTTAAAATTGAAATATCTATTATTTAATTGTACGTTAGAAAAAGATAACTTATTCATTATTTTTTTAGGTTCTATTATGATGAAAAATTTAATGCGGATCAAGAAGTTTATTTTGGTTTATATGAAACTATTGAGAAAATGATTCCGGATAGGAAGACAAGATTTTTAGTTGATCAACAGCTTGAGGCATTCAAGTCTGCCAATGGACTTTTTGGAAGGAGCATTGCAATAAATACTAGAAACAAAAAACAACCCAATATCGTTCTCTAGTCTATACTATTTATAAGAATTTAATTTTTGACCTTAATAATAAATCTGAATTTTGAAAAACATTCCTAATTTTTTTTTTTTTTTTAGCTCTTTGGTGGGAAAGTTATGGAGGAGAAGGCAAGGAGTTACAAAAGGTAGCTATGAGAATTTTTTGAGTTTCACATGTAGTGCTACTAGATGTGAAAGAAATTGGAGCACATTTGATCAAGTGCATACTAAACGAAGAAATTGCTTAGAACAACAAAGGTTAAATGCACTTGTATTTGTCAAGTACAACCTTCAACTTGAGATGAGACAAAAGATTAGAGAGGAAAAAAGAGAGATATATGATCCAATTTGTTTATCAGATATTGAATCTGATGATGAGTGGATCACTGGAAAAGAAAACCCATGCTTGCCAATGGATGGGTCATGGATGGACATACATGAGAGTTTCACTATTGATGAAGGAGCTCCAAGCAAGAAAAGAAAGAGAGGTATAATATTTTAAAACTAAACATAAGTTGATTTTAATTTAAATATATAAAATCATACTTATTTAAGCTTTTTGTTTTTTCCTTAGGTCCAAGAAATTTGAATGCCAAAACGAGTAGCAAAGGGAAATCTATAATGGAACAAGAGAATGAGAATCAAGATAATGTTGAAGATGGGGAAGAGGAGGACGATGAAGAAGTGACATTATTAATAGAGGATGATCATGAATTGAGTGACATTGATCTTGGAGATGATGAATGATGAATTGAATTTTATGTTTAGTGACTTTAGTCTTTTTAAGTTAGGAGTTTGGTTTTTGAATTGATTTTGGAGACTATTTATGTTTAAAATTTCATATGTTGGCTACTTTTTTTTTTTTGGACAGTGTATAGCACCTAATATTTACAAACTTCTAATATTTTTTCATATGAAAATTACTTATATATTATCCTTAATAATTGTTCATGAATCTTACGATATGGTACGATTCAAGATTCATAAAATCGGCTTTCCAATACACGATTCATATCTCGGTTTGATAACCATGATTCTAACCATTCAAAGCATAATTGAGATGGCTAAACAATTGACTAGTCAAAAGAGGCATCAAATAGCAATTTAAAACTGATTTTCCAGTTTCAATTTTGAACTCATAAGCTTTAAGACAAACTAATTCAAACAGCCACCATCATAATTCAGCATAAATCAACAAGTATTACTCAATCTCTAACTTCAATAACCATGATTTCAATCAGAAAATCAGATTATAATCATTTACTGCCTATATCTCAATAGCCCCAAAGCAACACTTGCTTATCTTTCACCTTTAATAAGTGTTTTAATCAGCTTTAGCTTTACAAACATTTAGACAGCAGCATCGTCAAATCTGAAAATACATTTCCAGTTTTCATAACGCATACACACACATAAATAGAGTTCTCAATTCCATCATTCGAGTTTCCTTCACCAAGTTTCAGCTTCATCAATTTGCAAATATCAAGTTCCATAAACAATGACCTTCACAAACACTTGAGAGCGTAAGCTATGCAAAATGAAATGAGATATACACAATGAAATTCGAATGATTCCTCTGGACCTTATAAAAATAAGATTCGAAAATCACTATATAGCATCCTGTAATTACTTAAATCTCATCATTCACAGCCATATATGCATTCTAGCCTCAAGGAAATTTACCAAACAGCAGCACCCATATTCAAGTTCAACACATGAATATACATGCATATATATTTTAAGTTTCATTGAAAAGTCCTTGAGCATCCTTTTACCAAGCCTATAACCATTCTAACTTCACAGCCCAAACACCATAGTCAAAAACTCAAACAATATCAACAACTATATATATAAGCATCGGGTTCTTCTATGCCATACTTCTTTAAATACAAAATTAATCATCATAAATTTAAGAACCCATTTATATGGTAGTCACAGAACAAAAAAAAAACAAGAAGAAGAAGAAGACAAGGAGTTCTCGGTCTCGACAGGCAATAACAAGAACATAACGAATGCATCTGTCTTGATTAGCAGCAAGCAACCACATAACTACTCAAGCTTAAATCTTCACCAAATCGGTGATCTCTCCTCATTCCTTACTGTAAGCCGACACTCCACAAACAGAGACAGCAACAACATAATTCAAAAGCCACAAAGCAGAACCAATAAATCACATGCAACACCAATTATTAACTTAATCTATCTCTAATTATAGTTTTAGACCCTTAACCACTAATTTCCCTAACAGTGACCTTCGGATTGACTCACTACCCCCAAATCAGCACCCCAATCGGCAAAATAAGAAATAGAGAAAGAACAATGAGATTACCTTGGTCCAAATCACCGATTAAATGCATAGTTTCCTTCTCGTACTCCCTCTTCGAGACCACCTCTCTCGGTCTCTTCTCCCTCTTCCCATCTAAGTAGCGTGGAAGAGGAAGAAATACACGGAAGGTAAGCATAGACGTCAGATGGTGGTCTTACCACGTGTATTTTGGGTGCTGACAAATGTTTTTATGCTTTTCAAGCTTACCCAATAAACCCGCTTGCCCAGCACTCCACTATCCGTATTAGCTCCCAAAGTCAAGGCGCACGTGTTAGGCCCCTTCCTTTCTAATTAGAATGTGCGCCCACTTTGAGCTTGGAGTATTGAGTTAACTGTATGCTTCTCTTTTAGTTTGATATTTCCTTGTGAAGCAACCCTCAAAATTAATCTTTAATACATTATAGTAATTTTCTTCTTCATTTAGCTTCCATAGCAGGTAAAATAATTGTTTTTTAAATTTTCAAGCTAAAAATTAACCTCTAGCTTTTTTTTAATTTCTCAGGGAAATAAGCTTTTAATTTAAGAAATTAGCTTTTAAACTATCTTTACCCCTTTTTGTTTCAGGAAATAAACTTTCGTAGACTCTTTTATTTCCCAAAGTAATTATCTACAACTTTTCCTTAATTATTCTGAGCATTTATATTATAAATAATTATTACTTTTTGATTTTTTTTTTCTTGAATTTCTTACTCAAAAATAGGCTTTTATTGAATAATTATTTTTTACGCCTTGACTAATTATTTAAACCACTCGGGCATCTTATAATTTTCTAACTCTAAAATTTGGGATGTTAATTGTTGGACAACAGAAACATGCCTATGACTTATTCAAAATAGTATAAACATGCCTATGAAAGTTGTAAGTCCGTTGGATCAGTCATGCCCATTTAGTTGTGAGAGCAATTCTTGCATAAAAGTTATACAAACATTTGCCCATCCTTTATCTGGTTGAAGAGTGCAAGTCATTATTAAACAAAAAAAAAAAAAAGGGGTCCATGAGCAGTGAAGATTGCTTGAAGAGATGAAGGAGAATGGTTCACTGCCCATAGTATAATCTATGCAACTTCAACTATGAATGAGTTAACAATGGCAAGCTGCTTTCTATCCATCAAATTGAGGAGGCTTTGGGAAAAGATGTTGATTTCAAGGTGCTGCTACTTCTACAATTCATGTTAAATGCAGAAGATGGATTCAGCTATAGTAGCTTTGAGATAGCATGGTATGATCTGAAAGTCTTGTATCTACTAATGGAGTTTTCAGTACATGGAGATATTTAAATGGCCAGCTACAGTCACAAAGATGAGTGTCGTGAAGATTACATGAGTAGATAAATGTGTGAAGAGAAACTAAGAAGAAAGTTCATGAAGCCAAGAAGATGATACTGTCACAATTACCATCATTATGTTAAAGGATATGGCCAAAGCTATTTCACACAAGTTGGATTTAGATATCGGTGAAAGTCAAAGAGGAAGGTGTCTCCATGAAAGTCAAAAAAAAAAAAGAAGAAGAAGAAGTCTCCATGCACGTTTTATTCACAAAGTTTAAAATCAATACAATTTTAATTCTCTTTGGCTCCCTGCTTTGTGTTGTCAAGTTGAACACATGAATTAAGAGGTGTTCAACCTAAGGGGCATGTCAGAGAGAGGATAAGTGAGTCATTAGTGAAGTGAGATAAGCCTATATAAAAGGTCTGGTGTGATGTGTTTAGAGTGTAGGATGTGTTATCCTTATCAATGAGAGTGAGGATAACTTGGGTCTCTGATCGGATCGGGACATCGCCTTCCGGGTCATCAAAAATATGATTGCACCAAATAATATAGTATAGGGCACAACCTATTGTTCTTCTTGAGGAGCACTCTTATTGGAAAATCTAGACTAAATTGGTTATCAAAAACATATTGACTTGGGTTTAAAAAAAAAAAGGTTTAATTGATGAAAACAGTGGTGCAATAAAAGTAAAATGCAAGGCAGTAAATCTTTTTAGACCTTTTGGATTAATAAAAGAATGCTTTGGATTAAGGCAAAATAATATGATGAGATAGGCTCTTGGTGATGAAAACTTTGTTATAATTGCTCTTAAAATGATATGGGAGTTATGAAAATCTCTAATTCTAGATAAAAACCCCAAGCAATCACTTAGGTCTAATGCTTTAATTAATGAAAACTTACTTTGTTCAAAGTTAATTATCACCTCTCAAAACATTGTTAGAAACCACTTAGAATGTACTTAAAATAGATGATGCAAATACCCTCAATGATTATTGACCAACAATCATAGAAACCAAGCAAGCAAATTAACTATCAATAATCTTTGACAATCAACTAACAAACAAGGAATCAAATTGAATATGTGTATATATATATATATATAATCCAACATAAAACATCATCCAATTTAATTACAATAGTCTAATCACAAGAATTACCAATTGGTAATCAAGTCTTACACAAAGAGTAGAAATTCCTAAATCTAGAAATATCTAACACATGTCCAAGCACAAAACTAGACTAAGAAAACTCCCCTAATGTATCCATGAGCTCAAGCTTTGTCCTCCATTACCAAGAGACTAAGGATTTAGCCTATCATAGCTTCAACTTTGCCATAATTAGTCCAAGAGATTTCTACCATGAGGAATGCCGAACAAAGGATTGAAAACGTGGAGAAGAAGATGATGGAAGTGGTTTAATTAGTGTAGAATTGAAGGAAATGGTGGAGAAATGGAAAAAAATGGAAGATTAAGGTAAGGGTTGAGTGGAGGCTTGGGAGAGAATGTAACATCCTAAGTTTGATCGGGTTTTAATAGCCTCTTTTGGGTTGATTTTGAGGATAGATTAGCAATTTAATCTTGATTTGGGTGTTTGGGTTGGATTTGAGGTATGTTGGAGGTATAGGTGAACGTACCCCTCTCAGGGTATGTTCGCCGCGGCGAACCGGGAGTTCCTAGTAGGCTATGTCTTTCGGGCAGGTTTGGCCGCGGCGAAGTCTTGGGGACGCCGCGGCGAAGTTGTTTAGGTGAGCGAGGCTTCCCTCTCGGGAAGGTTTCGCCGCGGCAAAGGTAGGGTACGCCGCGGCGAAGGTTGTCTGGGCGAGCGAGAGTTTCCTCTCGGGAAGCTTTCGCCGCGGCGAAGATTGGGGTTCGCCGCGGCGAAGTCGGTTTTTCAGGCAAGTAATCCCTCTCGGGATTAGTTCGCCGCGGCGAAAGGTCGCGATTCTATATAATCGCTGGAGGGTTCAGATGTGCGAAAATTGGAAAATCTGAAGGAGGAGAGAGAAGCTCTGCTAGGGTTTCGTGGAGGAGGCTTGAGAAAGGCATTTCTAAGGATCCATTACCTCAAGTAAGTGATTTTAACCTCTAATCTTCTTTCTTTCTTGGAATTTCTTGGAAATTTCTGAGGATTTTTGGTGAAACCCTAGATTTTCTAAGTTGTGATTGAACTGAGGTTTTTGACCGATTGTTTTGGGTTTAATTGATTGCATTGGGTTAGTTTAAGTATTTAATCGGTGTAGTTTCCTTGGATTTAAAGAATCTTGAATTTTGGAGTTAGGGTTTATGGAATTGGATGATTTGGGATTGAGGATGATAATGTAGAGATTGATTTGAGTTTTGTGAATTGGGTTATGTTAAGGAGGGTTAAATTGGATGTTTAATCGGTTTAGATTTGTTGTTGGAACCTTAATTGCTCAAATGGGTTGTTGGAGGTTGAATTCCTATAGTGGGCCCTTGAGGTTTGAACTATAATTGATGCTTGGAAGGAGACTTGATGTTTTAATGGACTTTGAGGATTTTGGAGTGTTGCCTTGATAGTTATACCCTTTGAGTTGGGTAGAGTTTTGATGGGAGATAGGAATTTTGTGTCCCCAAGTGTTGTTTTGGCCACATTATTAGTTTGAGAGCTAATATATGTTGGTTGTGTGTTTGTGTGCTTGTGTAGACCGGTTGTGAGTCTTGGTGGTGCGCGGGGCCACTTTGTTGTATGTTATTCCTTGCTCAGGCGAGAGGTAACCACTTTCCAATCCTTAGTACTTGCTTCTGTGGTATTGTGAGTATATTTGTGTTTTGTGCTCCAAATAGTAATGGTGTTCGAACTATATGTTGTATATAAAAAAATGGAAAACCGTCTTGTGGGGTTTGGATTTATGATGAATGAATTTGTGGAGTTGTGAAAGATATGCCACTGAATGAGGTTAATTGTGAAATGATTATTACTCTTGATTATGATTTGAGCATGATGCATTAATTGGGAAATTGGTGAGAGTTTTGTCTGTTACTACCACGTGGTAAGGCCTCCATTAATGCATGATGGTTGGCTCTCTACGTCCCCCATAGTGAGGGATAGGCCTTCGGGCTCATTACGTCCCCCAGAGTGAGGGATAGGCCTTTATGGCTCCTTACGTCCCCCATAGTGAGGGATAGGCCGGGTTCGGCTCCTGAAAATCCCCCAAAGTGAGGGATTTGGTTGATGGGATTGCATCTTTGCACTTGCATGAATTGTTGTGGCTATCAATATATATATGGTTTGTGAACTGCCCCACTTGACACCTCACGAGCACCTATTTAGTAGTACCTAGTATTGGAAAGGTTGGTTACTGGGACTTTGTCTCACCCCGTGGTTTACAATGTTTTCAGGAGAAGGTTCTAGGCGAGCACCTTCGGGAAGAGACGCAGAGGCTTGAGCTGGGTTAGCTTTAAGCCTCTAGCATTTGTATATGTATGAGTAGTAGTTATATTGCCACATGTAGGACCGCTTTTGGTATTTTTGATTACCCGGCCTTATTGTAAACTGAATAGAATGTATCTCCTTATTTTGGTTGGCCGGAGGCCATTGCTATTGCTTTATGGAATATGTTTTACTTGGTGAAAAAACTATTTTGATGGGCTGATTTTGATGTGTGTGTTACCCGGGCCGGAGGCTCGGAGGCCCAGTGAATATGAATGGATTATTTTAGTTGCATGTAACGTCTATCGGGTTGACCCGAGTTTGAGAGTCAATCTCTAAAAATATGAAATTTCCTTCTACTATGGTAGCTCGTATAAACCACTTTCCTTTTCTACCATAGTAGTGGTCTTATGAAAAGTATTGATGTTTAAGCAAAAGGGTTTTACAAGAGGGCTTTACAGAGAATGTTTAAGACTTCTTTTCTATAAATCTGCAGAATGAAGGCTTCTCTATTTCATGGCTGCTGGTTGCATTTATCTAATTGCAAAATGACCTAATTCAAAATGCATAGTTTCACTAAAAATACATCCAAGTCACGACTTAGGAGCAGTCTACGTCGTGACTTAGGAACACAGAGGCACTTTCAGTCTTGTGTTTTGGCTCTTCTCGTTTTGGCCTTTTTAAACTTGTGGCGCCTTAAATGCTCCATATTGGGTCTTTAAGCCTCCTCCAAATGCCTACAAATAAAAGCAAAGAACTTTGTAAAAATTAAACAAGTTAAAAATCAAGGCATTTATAAATTGGATAAGATCATTGATCTTTTTTACCCTTAAATCAGCAAAATACATTGCATCAATCAACATAATCAAAAAGGTATCAATGCACGTAAAATGCGGGCAAAAGTGTTCCAAAATACTAGAAAATAGTCAAGAAGACCATGTAAAGATTAGGTTCTATCAGTTTCCCTCTTTAATCCTAACAGTTTTGAGTTATTAGTTAATCTCTCAAGTAAGGAATTTGATTAACTCTAAGAGGGTTCTTATACTTTGTTCATCATTAATCGCATTTCATAGTTTTTATTCTCATTTCTTTACAAACCAAAATTAAAATAAGGACAAAGTTGAGAGACCAAATATTATATTAATAAAAAATATTCTTTAGAAACCAAAATTGACGAAACTTAAACTTGCAAACATAATTTTGTTCAAACAGTCTTGCAGCTTTTGTTCCAACAAGCTTTATGGACCTTTTCAAAACCATAATATAATTTACCTGAGAACTAAAATATCTCTTCCTAGAAAGATGGGTAATATTTGTATCCTAATTCTTTATCAACTAACATGGTAATAGCGGTAAAAAAAAATAAAAAATAAAAAAAAATACTTGAACGACTATTGAATTATTTAAGCTGTCTTTGATCAATCTCCATATGTACTTACTATTAAAGCCAGATAAAAACGTTCAATATGCCCTCTTTTAGCTTATGACAAGGTATATAATATATAACAAATAAATTATAATTTAAAATTTTTAAAATATATTTACATTTATGTGTGTGTGTTGTTTTCGATTGTTCATTTTAATATATTTATTGTCGATAGTTATTTCATTAAAACCCTCTATTTTAAAACATATAAGAGAAAACTCGACAAATAATGAATAATTAGATTAATCAAAATGAAAATAGCGCATATATATATATATATATATATAAACAAATAATAGTTTGACACATTAGAAAAAAAGATAGAAAGTAGGAGGCGGTTATGGGGGTTTGAAGTAGAGGCTTGGGATTTGTCTTGAAAAAAGGTTAATTTCGGACTATATTTCACAGCTTTTAATAATACTTCTTCACAAAAATGACAATATATAAGAATCTATTATTCCCTCCTGCCCCTTCTGTTACGTTATCACTTTATTATAGCTTTATTTGTTATTGAGAAAATTACATTCATATCTTAAGTAAGAGATTTTATTAGAGCAAGGTTCCTTGAGATGTTCGAATTAATTTCAATTTCCAAGGGACCTATGGGTAGGAGATTGCAATTGTAAATTGACCATCTTGCCTTCAACACTATCCTCTGTCAATTCCAACTTATTGTTAATTGTGTCTATACTAGTTGTCATTCCGTGCTGCACCCTAATTTGTCATTTGGATCATAATAAATTGTCATTTAGAGTACCCCAGCTTTTCAGGCCACCGTAAATTTTGAATGCATGTCTTTTCACTTGACAATTCTGCAGCATGGAGTAACAATTTGTGTAGGCACAGTTGATAAGTAAAAGAGTTGGAATGGATAACGAATGGTGTTGAGAGTAACAACCTACATATGAACGAGGGCAAGTAGATGATCAATTTGAACATTTCAAGGGATATCTTGTGGTAATAAAATCTTTTGTTTGACATCTGATTGTAATTTTCCCGTTGTTGTTTCTCTTTCATTCACAAATTTTAATTTTAATTAAATAAATCGAAACGTGCTAATTTTAAGATTGAATATCCCGCATCCTTGAAATGAAACTAAAGCAACTAAAAGACACTTGTCCCAGGGAAATGAATTATGATAGCTAAAGCACGAAGTATCAAATTTAAATATGTCAAATGTATTTTTTAAAAAAAGATATTCGGAAGAAAGCTATTCTTATTTGGACTTAAGAAAGCTTGAATTTATTCCATAATGTCATATATCATATATCGTACAAAAATGAGACTCTTTTTACGGAAGTCAAAATGATATTAAAAGAGGATAAGCTTACGTAATCCCTTCATAATATGAACAAACATAATTAGAAGTAATGGAATAAAAAAGGGAGGAGGGGCTAGAGAAGAGGAAGTATATATTAGAAAAGTTAGACAGCATCATTCTTTGATCTTGCCAAATGACTGATTGATGATAGAAAGATGCCAGACTAAAGCTCCTCTTATTGATGCTAATGATTTCCAAGAAACCTTGTGTAGTGTCATTAAGGCACCTTTTGCAAATAATTCAATAAAGAGCTCAATATTGATTGTCCTGAATAACAAATGATAATATGACATTGAATTTATATGTGAACTTTGCCCTTCTAAATCAATATGGACCAATCTTTCTTTAAAGAGGTAATCATTAGGGGAGCAATTGGTCTAGTAGAAGTAAGCAGTGCCTCTGTTTTCTCGCTAGAGAAGGTTGTCGATGAAAACGCTACATGCCAACGACTTTTCTAACGACATGATGTGGTGACTGAATGATACTGTAATGAGCATCGATGTTCCTCTTATGCCAAATGACATTAAATAAGATAATTATTCCCTACATAATGCTATTAAGTAAGGTAATCGTTTCGTTTGCCAACTAGGTATTCATCAGCTGGGAAAAAAAGTCTTAACAACCTGCACCAATGGTTAAATAACAGTGCTATCACAGCTCAATTAACGATATGTGACAACATAGTTAGTTGAAAATTACTGTGGATTGATGGACCTTTTTTTCTCAAAACTGACTAATACCTTGTTGGTGTGGTAATGGGGCACCTAAACATGATGCCACTGGTGGAGTTTTAGTGTGTGAGTGTGTCAAAAGAAGTCTCATACTACTCAAGATTGAGAAAACCTTAGTGTTTACTAAGATGTGAGCTTGAGATAATATAATAGCTGAGAAGAGGAGTCTTTAGAATTAACCGTTAGAGATGATCATTGAAGCATTTATGTGTTTTTATTAGTCAGTTTTATTCTTTCATTAACCAGACTTAATGGCTTTAAAATGATTTAATTTACCTTAATTGTTTTAAAACCACTCTTTTAATTGTCATTAAAATCATATTTAATCAGCATTATGGCAGCCCAACGATCACATATTATCTGCCTATAAAAGGCAATGTGTGGTGTATGGTCAGTGTGCGTCAAGTTCTATATCCGAGCTCTCCTTCTCTCTCTCTTCTCTTGAGTTTTAAATTTCTGCTGTTCTATCACCTTGCTCTATTGCAAGGAGGGTTCGTTTAATCCTGGGGAGTGCCGCCTTTTATTCTAACCTGTGTGGCGGAATAACTCTTAAGGACAGTGTTTTTAGACACGACTAGAACCATATTTTTTTTAATTATTTTTGTAGGTGTTGTCAATAGCCACTTGTTTTGATGAGAAAAAAAAGAATAAAGGTGTGGATTGCTCCAAATTAATTACTGAACTTTAGAATGCCAAGTGAATACTTTAGTGCAAAAATGCATTTAAACCCAAATATTTTTATATGTAAACATGACATATATAATCCAAGCCATGTTCTTTCTCACAGCTGACTGGTATAAACTTCAATATTTGTTAGCTTAGAAGGGACATTGCAATGATTTTGACACTTGAGTAACATTGCTCTAATATGTTCTTTAGGATGACCAATATTTGGGGTAAAAATGCCCCTGTAGTAGCATTAAATTTTAGACTAAGTATTTTATGAAGCAAAATATTATGAATAATGTAATTTTTTTTTTTAAGCTTAAAAGGCTAAGATTTTCTCAAGCCAATTCATTAGGACTGTTGACCTAGGTAGGGAGGGCTACCTAGCCCCTCACCACGTAAAGAAAACATGTATTTAAATAATTTAGAATTGAGTAAATTTAAAATTGGTTTTTTTAATTTTTTAAATTTCTGATATCCCACGTAAAGAATGTATATTAATTTTCATATTGTTATCATTGTTGTGTCGTTGGCATTTTTGGTTGAGCTTGTTGTTCCATTTTAAAATCATTTTTCATATATGACAACGTTTTAATGCGAAAACTAACGAACAAAAACGTTGAAAACAAGTCTCAGTAATTAATCAATGTACTTTCATTAGTCTACTGAAAACTGCATCTGGCTAACCATCCCCGAAAATGATTGGTAATGCATTTATTGTTACAATGTCATTCATGAAAGCTCTATATAAACGGTTCGAATTTAATTAGAAGCACAATCATATGTCTCATGAGATGGCTTCTCAACCAGGCATTCTCACAGATTGGCCATGGAAGCCCCTTGGGAACTTCAAGGTTTATTCTTTTCATTTGCTTTCCCTATAATTGTCTCTCAATATCTCCTTGCTTTTCTGCGCTTTTTTTCTTTGTTTTTGTGTTTTCTTTTAATACTTGAAAATTGAAATATACTCTCCTCTTTTTTTGACAGAAATATACTCTCTTTTCATCTTAATATTTGATGTATATTATTGTTGTGTCCAAGATATACCGTTTCTTTTGCCTACTTGCCTTGCAGCATTTACTACTATATTTATATCAAAATCAGTATGCTCTTCTAGTTTTATTTATAAGGCAAAGAGAATTTTTTTAGTCTTTCATAAATATTACAGCATTAAATTTATTATATGAATTATACACTTTTATTCTTAATTTATTGTTTTATTGACTATTATTTTGAAAAGTATATATAAAGTAAAGTTATTAAATTTTAAAACAAAGTTGATGAAATTTAGGATTCTCTTAATTTCAATAAAATATGCTAGAAGTCTCTTATAAGTAAAACTAAAGTAGAACCTTACATATTGACAAGTTATCTTGATGTAATGAGTTTTGATAGTAAATTCAATTTGCATTCATTAAAGTTGACTTATTAATCCGTTTCTTTCCTGTGTTTGCATAACGATGGATGAACATTGATCAGTACCTAGTATTGGCCCCATGGGTTGCCCACAACATTTATTCTGTAGTGTTGAATGATTATGTAGAAGAACCATTTTACTATTTGGTGCTCCCATTTCTTTTGGCGAGAATGCTTCACAACCAAATATGGATTTCTCTTTCTCGTTATCAAATTGCCAAGGGCAACAACAGGATTGTTGATAAAGGCCTTGAATTCGATCAAGTTGACAGAGAAAGCAACTGGTTCTCTGCTCTCTCTCTCTCTCATTTAATTATTTATATGCTCTCTGTGGTTCTTGACAAATATAACTAGGAGAATCAAGGAATTTGGATTCAATAAATATGTTATGAATATTAATTTTTACCCCAAAATAACCTCAATCAATAATTGACGGGAAAAGTAACATCTAACGCCCTGATATTATTTCTTAGTAAGATCCAGCAACTTAATCTTATTTATGATATATCTAGCATCTCTGATATTGTTCAATTACATTCAGCACCTTAATTTTATTTATGGTTTTGGGTGCTGGATGTACTAAAATTAAGGTGTAGGATGCAATTTAAAAATTAAAACCATTTGGGTGCTAGATGTTACCTTACCAATAATTGATCAAATACTTCTCTTTTAGTGAGAATAAAAAAATAATTTTTTTATAAATGCTTTAGACAAGTGACTATTATTTCTTATAAATAGCATTAAAGTGAACCCTTGCAAAAAAATTCTCTTATAAAAAAGACCAAGATGAGTAATTAAATTAATATTCAATGACTGACTCAATGATCTTCCTTCTCTTACAAATCATTATATAAGTATGTATGTATGTATAATATATGGCAATCACTTGAAATCAACAGGGTTGAAACCAAATTTATTAAAAGCCTATTCCGGAGTCTTTTTTATTATAACACACTTGTTAAACAATTCTTGTAGGGATGACCAGATTTTGCTGCATGGACTCTTGTTATACATAGGGTACATGACATTACCAGGGAATAATTCTCCCGTGCCTTTGTGGAGAACAGATGGTGTGGTTCTCACAGCTTTATTGCATGCTGGTCCTGTGGAGTTTCTCTACTACTGGCTTCACAGAGCTCTTCATCATCATTTTCTCTATTCTCGCTACCATTCTCACCATCATTCTTCTATTGTCACTCAGCCTATAACTTGTAAGATATTTTTTTTCACTTGTACTGTCCATTTATTGATCACATATTGGGGTTCTATGCTTAATGTAAGTGCGTACATATATATATAAAGATAATTATATTAATAAGTTTTTGAAATTAAATCTTTTTTTTTTTTGGCAGCTGTGATTCATCCGTTTGCTGAAATTGTAGCATATTTTCTTCTATTTGCAATACCAAATATGATAATAATAATGTTCACAAGAACTACCTCTATGGCCTCCATTTTTGGTTACGCATTTTATATCGATTTCATGAACAACTTGGGTCACTGCAACTTTGAGTTCTTCCCGAAGAAGCTCTTCTCTATCTTTCCCTTCTTCAAGTATCTCTGCTACACGCCAACGTAAGTCTCAATTATGCTACCTTCATGATATATATAATTCCTTAGTCAAAGTTCTATAATTGTAAAAATATCATCATTTTATCGATAGCATCCCAAACAAGTGATCATAACTGAAATATCAATTCTTAAATGATTTATATTTTATCATAATTAACTTGTAGGTACATGAAGCAAAAGGAGGATGAGGAAGTGAATATTATTTTTTAAAAAAAAAATTCGATAGACGTGCATATGCATTGGTTGAAGATAGTTAGAATATTTTCGGAGAAATAAAAGTGGAATGTAGAACAGTTAAAGCTTTCCCTTCCTTTAACCTAGCAAATATCTCTTAAGATATCATTCTAGAACCATGTCAAAAGGTTACAGTGAAACAGTGTTTAATTGCATGGACAATGTCAAACTGTCCCAAGAAATATAATATATATTAAGTCTCCATAATTGATTTTGTATGAAATGGTGACCACCTTGCAAACTTTACCAATTAACGGAAGTTGATAATTTTTCTCCAAATCCTCTAAATCCAAATGTGAGGTCGTTTCTTTTTCTGCCATATCTATGAATTAATTTTTTAGCCATTAACATCTGGTTCCTTAATTCTACTTCTTCACGGATTTTCATTCATATTGAATGAATATAATTATTTCTGCTATATATTCTGTTCTCCATAGATGTGTGTGTGTGTGTGTGTGTGTAGAATGCAGAATAGTTAACTTAGGAAATCATTGCCGCAGGTTTCATTCACTGCATCACACCAAATTCAGAACAAATTACTCTCTTTTCATGCCAATATATGACTACGTTTATGGCACTTGGGATGAATCCACAGATGATACTTACGAAGCATCATTGAAGAAAACAAAGGACTTGCCAGATGTGGTTCACTTAACTCATTTAACAACATCAGATTCCATCTACCATCTTCAATTAGGCTTTGCTTCTTTGGCCTCAAACCCTCAAACACCAAAATGGTACCTTTATTTGATGTGGCCCTTCACATTTGTTTTTAAGCTAATGGCTTGGATCCTTGGTCGTACCTTTGTCTCAGAAAGGAATAATTTCGAAAAGCTCAATTTGCAAACATGGGTTGTAACAAGATTTACTCAAGAAGTAAGAATTTGGTTGTTGTAACTTATATTACATTTTTATCATTGTGACCTTCTTAATTCCTCTTTTATAATACAGTATCTCTTGAAAAGGAAGAGCAAAAGACTTAACAAGATCATAGAAGAGGCAGTTCTTGAGGCTGACTCAATGGGCGTTAAAGTTCTTAGTCTAGGGCTTCTAAATCAGGTTACTTCACATCATTTCCCTCTTTACTTTCTTTTAATAACTTTAATTTGCTGAAATATTTAAACGCTTTTTATGCATATGCAGAAAGAAGAGCTCAATGCCTATGGCCAATTATATATTCAAAAGTTTCCAAAACTAAGGGTAAAGGTTGTAGACGGAAGTAGCTTAGCTGCTGCCATTGTTGTGAACAGCATTCCCAAAGGGACGAAGCAGATTCTTCTGCGGGGAAACTTTGATAAGGTTTCTTTTGCTATAGCCAACACTTTGTGTGAAGCAAATGTTCGGGTAAGAACACACACAGAGACAATCTTCCATGTCTTTAATTTTTTTTAAAATTTTAACTTCATACGGCAGTGAAACCATGTAAAGCCTAATAAACTTTATGAAAGTAATGAGATTACTTTGATTTACCAAGATCTGAAAATTTGGTTAGCAGGTGACTACGTTATATCAAGATGAGTTAACAAAGCTTCAACTGGGACTCAACACAAAGCCTAGAGCACTTTCAACAGCTTCTTATGAGAAGAAGGTAAAAGAATTCGGCAAATTTCAAAATTTGACATTTTTCACCTTATTTAATGGAATTTTTTTATTACATGATGCAACATTTTGCAGATATGGTTGGTAGGAGATGGATGGGATGAAGATGAACAAAAGAAAGCACCAAAAGGAACATTATTCATACCATTTTCTCAATTCCCTCCAAAACAAATGCGAAAAGATTGCTTGTACCACTATACTCCGGCAATGTTGGCTTCTCCTTCAATCACAAATATGTATTGTTGTGAGGTTAGCAGCTAGCCTCAAGTCTGACAGTTTTACTTTTGATTTTGTTTTCATGCTGATAATTTAAAATTGTTTAAAACTATAACTCACTTCAATCCTAAATATAAGAACTAGTTGAAGTGTCATAAATATAAAAGTTAATTGAAGTGTTCACTTATGTTTTTCTGATATGAGATAATTCTAATTATGTTACCACATAATTTGTTTGTTTTTCCCATCCATCTCTAATCACAGAATTGGCTGCCAAGGAGGGCAATGAGTGCTTGGCGTATAGCAGGAATAGTGCATGCGTTGGAAGGATGGAACGTACATGAGTGTGGCTCTACCACTTTCAGTATCACTCAAGTTTGGGATGCATGTATTCGTCATGGTTTCAAACCTTTGGACGCTCCTCTTTGATCATATCATGTTTCAGTAATTATTACTACGAACTTAAGACACACATATATAGACGCGGATGCTTTGTTTTGTTATGCTGATCATGAGTGTCTTAAACTTGTACTAATTTAACATATAAAGTTGTATAATGTTCTTTGGACACTCGTCTTTGATTAAGTCACCTTTTATTAATGGTTTCAGTAGATTTAGACACGTATGAATAATTTCTCTTTGCCTGTGTTTGTTGCACGTATAATAACACACCCCACTTTTGCAATATTTAATAATGCATAGTATGTCAGGGACATTCAACTATTAGAAACGAAAACCTTTGAATAATCAGTATGAAAGAATTCATTAAATGTGTATTTACATTTCGAATACAAGGAGTACTGATCCTATGTACATTAGGGACCTCAATCTTTCAAAAAAAAAAAAGATCGAAAATAATTCAAGGGAATGAATTGTGAATCATCTCATGTGAGAACACCTTTTGAGCTCTCCTTTCTGATAGATATCCTTCTTAGACAGACTAATAATACCCGATTGCTGCTCAACCTTTTTGATGAGAAGCTTCAGTAGTGGAACCTTTGATAGAGTTCTACAGGAACCCGCCATGATCAGCTTTTTCTGCACAAATATTTACAAGCGTACTCTCAAAACAATGAAACACAAGCCAGATACATACAATAAACATACAGCAAAAAGCATAAAATACCTTGCCACGTGTGAGAGCTACATTTATCCTATGCCAGTCTCCAAGCAGAGAAGACGCACAGCTTGATGGGTTTTCACTGGACCTCACAAAAGATACTAATATACAATCTTTATCTCTACCCTGGAGAAGGGGGGGAAACCATATGAATGACACTCGTATTTCTATAACAAAACATTTTAAAAAGAAAAAGCATAAACAATTCAGTGATGCCTGACATAAGTAGACTACTGAACTGAGAGCCTGTTTGTTTATACTTCAACAAAAAAAAAAAAAGTGATTTTAATTAGGCTACAAGGAGTTACTGAGAGAATTCTAAGCTAAAAATAAAGGGTTATTAGAAGAAACTTCATTTTCAGCTTGTTTTAACAAGCAGAGTCAAAATCACTTGTCAAAATAAACTGACAATAGATTTTCTTCCAGTAACCCCTCGTGTTTAGCTTAAGGCTCTTTCAAAAACTCCTCGTGTAACTCCATCAAAATCACTTCTTTTTGTCAATCTAAAACAAAGAGGCTCTGAATTATGAGGAGAATTAATGATTTAAAACAGTAGAGTAATGCAAGCTAAGTAATCTTAACATGTACATAAGACGAACCTGGTATTTGTCAATTGTATGAATCTCCAACGAGGTCACGCAAGCAGCCTGGCGGATGAGGTTTGCCTGGGAATTGTAGGGGGTAATAATGCCAACTTGTTCTTCTCCAATTCCATTTTTTATCAATGCCTTTGCTATCTACATTTCAGGCAGAATAAACAATTGTTTATAACAAGTCAGATGGCTTGAAATATGAAACGAATTGCGGGCAAGAGAGCAGATTTATTATCTTGAGAGATACCTCAACAATTATGTGAGCTTCAACAGGGTTATTTATGGTCTTCTGTTCTCTCGCCTCTAAAGCGGGCAATTTATCTATGATGGAATATGATGAGATTTACATTAATTATTCTAAAACGACAATGAGCATAAAAAATTAAAGACGAAACGTCATCTTTACATACCAGTATCAATAAATATCACTGGCCTGTCTGGATTCAAAACCTGCATCATAACCCCAAAAAATGGAAATTTTACATCCTTGTAAATATAGTCAATTGTGTACGAGATAAAATTGTTTCGGTGACATCAAGTTCACACAAATCTAAAATTTTTCTAACCCAGGTGAAAGGCAATAAATATAAAATAAACCTTGCTGCAAGGTAAAGATCGAAGATCAATATTCTATATGGATCACTGGCTTGCTTAGCCAAGTCCCATGTCTTTATTTATAGCTAATAACTCAAGGATATAAAACTTCAGATAGTACAATAAAATCTAATTAGTCAACATGTTTATTGTAATCTAAATGATACACATGATTGCAACACTCCTTGAGGTTGGATAATAATCAAACTTCACCATTGCAGAGAAACACAATATAAAATGAAAATGCCAAACACAAGCCTGTTTCGGAGTTGGAGTCAAAGCCAATCCATGGAGTCTCCAAGCCCTGTTTAATTTTCTATGCGAACCCTTCATTTTAAGAAAAAATGTATTGTTGCATTCACCTTAGTATCATACTATTAGCTTCTTCTCACATGAAGTAGCCAAATTATGCTGTTTTAGATAAGCATCAGACAACCAGAATTTCAGTCAACATAATGTGCCTCACTATTGGCAAGTGAGAACTATGTAGCAAGGCAACCCTGTCACCGAATTCAATGAATTTGCATTTGCACCCACAGAAGCCCGTACACATGCAAAAACAATTGAGTAGCAGAAGGAAAATATGCGGCAAAAACCCTTGAAGATGGTTGGCATGGGGAAAAAAAAAGGTAGAATTAATGACACCAAAAATGGCATACAATCAAAATTAAAATTGCTTCCTTCAATTAGAAGCTTGTTGAATAAATAAAATTCTGTCAAAAATGGAAGTCCATTAAAAATTAAAACAATAAAAACCTGAAAGATAGTAGTCTTACATTTTTTAGCCAAGGTAAGCCCCATTTTAAGGTAGAGAACTCAAGTTTTGCATTAGCAATCTCAGTGGAACCGCAGCTTAACCTATCACCATATATCAAGGCATTTGACAGGTCCATGATGCCCTGACACATACGGTACTGTATATATTTCAAATTAGCACGTAATTAAATAGATAATGAAAGCAAACGAAACAAACATCTTTAAAATCACAAGTACCTGACTCTGTAGTGCTGAAATTGCTTGTGGATGTGCTTCTGAGAGCCTACAAAATAAACTTACACCCATTCCATTCTCTCGAGCTTCTGCACTCTAGGAATTATTTGACACAAATTTGAAAATGGTTACCCACAGTTTTATGCCAAAAAAAGATGATAGTGGTTGGTAGTGATACCTGTACAAGCGGAGGAAGTTGATAGTGATCACCCACAAGTACAAACATTGAGGAAAACATGAGCGGACCCAAGGACACCTGACATAGCAACCATTTGATGCAAAGTTATATCAAATTGTTTAGTTGTTTTAACTGAACACCATCTTTTTTGCTACTACTTTGGCATTGAAACTACATGAGCATAATTTCAATGTTGAACAGAAACAAGCATGAAAAGCTTAGGTTTAATCTTCAGGCTATATTATAGACCCATTTGTCTCTCATTCCAGGTATCACACCCACGTAAGGGCAGGATCTAGTCCCTGATATCCGGTAAATTCAGGAAGGCCTAAGCACTGTTGAGGGTTGAAGAGGAAATAAAGAATACTCAATTTTAACATCTACATCAAGCTGGCTTGCCATTTTGGGTAAATTCTTTCAAGACGAATACTTTGGTTCAGGGACAGAGGGGACACAAATCAATTCCAGGATTAAAATATCCTGCAGGATCCTTTTCTGCTGATGGGTTCGTCTGAACAAAATTTTTAAAACTACAGTTGTACATTTGTACATACCATGACAAGTATCGCAAGTATTTCAAAAATACAAGAAGGTAAGAAGTAACATACTGGTAGAGTTGTCTGCCCAGCTTCGTCCATAATGCATACATCAAAAGTCCTGTTGGCAAGCAAGGGACTGGTGATGCCCAGACATGTAACTGCAACTACTTTAACTTGTTCTAACCTTACTTTGATCTCATCAACATTTTGTACATTCGTTGCTGTCAATTGTGACAAGATTGAGTAAAACTACTCCCCCAAATCAAAAGGAAGATTGAAAAGAACTAATCAGCCAACCTGAAAGGCAGTGTTCTCTAACCTCCTCATGCACAGCTTCATGTCTTCCAATACGTACAAAATCAATTCCCTACAATTTAAATTTCAGCATGCTATGAATCTTATACTTGAATTACAAGGAACCACACTGTAATACAGTGAATTGGATGTTTTTAGAATACAATGTTCAGGAGTGTGCACTATAGTGGTAGGATTGTGAATCTAGAAAGTAATCAACAAACTTATTTCAATGACCCAAGGGTTTTCAAGAAAATAAATTTATCTAGCAATGCATAGGTGAACGTATAATTTCAACATAGGCTTGTCCTTAGCCCTGGATCCAAACCCAGGGGACTTTTCTTGTTTTTGGTGACAAAACCCAGGGGACTTTAACATGGAGTGTATTAGAGATATAGTATTTAAACCCGTGATGGCCTTCTAATAAGATCACATGCTTTAAGAAGCTACAACCAACAAGAAAACGAAAGCAAATACCTGAGCTTTTAATTTGATAAGTAAATTATCTACAGCTGAGTTTGTATAGGCTGTCAGCAAAATAGATGTGCCTCTGATTAATAATGCTTTGACAGCATGAACCATGGTTGATGTCTTCCCTGTTCCAGGCATTCCTAGTATGAGTGCGTAATCCTTTGCTGTAAGAATCTGATAATGAGTAGCAAAGCAGATTCACAAAGAAAGGTCAATTCCAGGTAAAACTGTGAATAAAAGTTGCTGAATAAATCCGGGACATTAATGAAAGAAATTCAGATTCGATTGGAACCTTGAGGATTGATCTACGCTGATCATCATTCAAACTCTTCTCTGACCACACATATGATATTGCTGGGTCCTGACTGACCATAGATCCACTGTCAAATTTGGGAGCCTATAGGCAACAAAGCAGCAGGACAGAATAAGATGATGTAGCTTGTAAGGAAGACAAAGTTGGGAGCCTGAACATGATAGCAAGCAACTCACCTCAAGATCAACAATCATTTTCCTCAGATGAGCACTTTGATCATTTTGTAGGAAAAGTTGTACTAGATTAAACCTTTTATGGGGGAAAAAGTCACAAATGAATCATATAAGTAAATAAATTTGAACACTGGCAGATGTCTTGAAAACCGAGGTTTGAATTAAGCAATAACCAGACAAGCACCTCATAACAGCAAATGAAGTCACAGTTTCATCTTTATCAATCCTCCAAACCTGTTTATAAAGATCTTGGCTAGTGGAGAGGCTTCCAGGAATCCGCAGTCGCTTTGAAAAGGAAGCCTAGAAGATTGAAAGATAAACAGTTATCATCTTGGTAAGACAACCATATCAGCAAGGATTCTGCTTCTTCTAATCCTTGGCAATATAGCTTTAATAGATGAGCAAAGGAAGTAAAATGCCCAATGCAAGAGCGTAAAGAGTGTAAATAACAGAAACCGAATGAAAGAAATTAATATACTCACAGAAACATGGGCATGACTAATGTCTGTAATCACCCCACTAGCAATAGCTTGACGGCTAGATTCAGTGCTCAATATCTAAAATGTTACACAAAATAAACAATAATTAATTAGTAGTATGAGACAATTAGTGAAAAACAATAATATGGATAATCCTTTGCAAAGTAAGTTGATATACTTAATATTTTATGGGAATAAAACAACAATCACACGATGGTTAAACCATGAACGACAAAATTATAGCCAATCAAAATACAACCCGAGGTAAAAGAATAAGTATAACATAACATGAAACTGTGGGGTAAGAGCAAAAGAGGGAAAAATCATTTCCAGGTTTCTGTTTGAGCTTGGATTTGATTATACTTCACTGCTTCATGCATGTTCAATGTTACTTTTCTTAAAATAAAGATGTGAGTCTCATTAAATCATCGAAATAATAACAACAACAACAGTAATGATAGAGACAAATCTCAATTGTAACTGAACATCACATTAAAAAAGCACAAGCGCTCATGTCAAATATTAATTTTCCTGAAGCTATTTCAAGACAAATTGTATACCATATATCTCAATTCAGTTGATTAAAAGTAAGAAAATGACTCGTACCACGTAGTCTCCACTTCTTAGTTTGATATCCAAATAGTTTGTTGAAGCAATAGAAGGATCACCATCAGACACTTCAGATAGAGAAGATGGATTACATCGTACAAAACGATAAATGAAACAATTATCTTTAAGAGATTTCGGACATGGAATCTTATTTGAAGCATCAAGGATAACAGAAGAAAGGCCAGTACTATTCTGACTTTTAAAAGTATGTGATCGCCACATCTCTTTCTTCACAAGCTGCAAAGGTAAAGAAAGTGAAGAATAGACATTAAAAAAAACTAATATAAAGAACACTGCTAATATAAACATAGAAGAAACCTCAGTGGGGGCTAATATAAAGAACCCTGCCTTAAAATTATACCTCAGTCTCTTTTGCTTCTAAGTCAATCAGCCGATCCCAATGGCAGAGGAACTTACTATAAGTAGATGAAAGGTGATTAGTATGTGAGTCAAACAAATCTCCCAATCCACTACTCTTCGCACTTCCTCCTTGAACCTAAAGCATTTCAATAGATCACACAAAAAGATTAACAAATAAAAGCTTTAACAAGATATAAAACTCAAGATATGCTAAAGTTCATGGAAATCTTGGAATAAAAACACTGTCTACAAGATCAGAATATTGTAACTCAACACAAGCCATTTTGATTTTATTGGAATAGTATTAATTTGTATCCCACATCAACTCTGTCATAACCAACAAGCTTAAATCTATTTTGCAATGTTAAGAAAATAAAAGTATATTGCAACTTAGTTTATCTCTTAATTTGCATGCGACAGCATTTTCCAAATTTCATATACCCGTGCAACAAAATCCACAGGTACATCCTAGTTATTCTAAATTCCAAAACATTCATGGTTGGATATTTGCATCTTTTTATGATTAAGGCATAAACAATTGACTCGTCTGGAAAACAATTAAATTTTCTACAACTTTTGAGGTCCAACGCCCTGATTTTAAAAAAAAAAAAAAGGAAGGAAAGTGGAAATAGAGGTATTTATATCTTAACTGAAAAGATTCTAGAAAATGAGGGGGGGGCCACCGATGAGATTTCCAACTCTTCTAACAATCTAGCATCTTATTATCAAGAATAAGGCATAAATATAAGATAAATGATACTGAATTACACACAATAGTTGCAATGATCATGATCAGGAACGGAAACACTCAGCAACAGGCATTGTTGTGCTTTTTAAATAGCATGATAGTCATGAAGGTTCCTTAGATTTAAGACAAAAAAATCATACTTTAATGTTATTGTTTGTTTATATTAGAAACATAGTATTTAAGTTGGCAACTCAGAAAAGATCATGTTATTTAAATTTAAGACAATCAGGAGAAAGCAAATTCAAGTATAGCTTATCATGAGTGAACAGGTCAAAAACAGTTATAGCAATTTTCTAAACCCCTTGAACAAGTACCTTATGATAAATGCTGCAAACATTAAGATGGCGACAACCTCTGCAAATGCTTGGACTCTGCAATAGAAAGATGAAGAAATGGGTAGCGACATCTGATAAAATTATAAACACCGTGTAAAAATGTGGAATAAGCACATGCCTGTAACATTGGAGGCAGTTGTTGTGTGGTTAACGCCCTCAGAATATCACTTGCAAGTTCATTTCGTCGCATGATTAGCCCAACTAAGTCAGATCTTTGAACCACAATGCCCTTCATACAAAATAAAAATGATCAGACTGCTCGTCTTATTAAAAAGATATAGCTAATTAGTATCAAAATAACCTTACTTCTGTCTGATCTGAGCGGAGATAATATAGAAGACCAGAATCAATATTCTTCAGGTACCTATCAAATTAAACCATGCAAAATAAATAAAAGAATGTTTTCTAAAATATTTTAGCATAGATATACTGCTAGAAAAAGATTATGCACCTTTCAGACATCAGAAGAGTGTACAAGATCACTTGGGCACGATGTTCTATAGATGACTGCATATATCAAATGCAATTGTCATAAGAAGAAATATCATACAAGAAAACTCGAAGTGAGTGATGTTTTATGCATTCTCGTAAGGATATAAATCCAAACCAACATTTTATGACATCTATTAGTAGTATGAACCAGAATATTGCCTGGCCAGACATTGCCTTCCCTGTTTTGAACTCTAATGGCATGACCTTCTCATCTTCATTTCCCTTTGGTAGAACCTTCACACTGACAGAAGCATCAATCATCCCTTTCAAACCATATTTAGGAGCCCATGCCATCTCCTCAATATCAATTACCTGCATTTGCCACAGAAGCTCACATTTGAAGAAAGCAAACCAAAGAAGGAACAACAAAATTTTGTTAGACATGTGGACAAAGCTTTGGTCCCAACATCTCGCAAAGCTTATTTCTCTCTCCAACAAACATTAAATATCATGACAAAAGTCTGAACATCCCATCTTTATTATTTTTAGATTGAGACAATTACATGAGTATGTACAAACATAAGGTGG